TTGGTCCCTAGTGGCTGACCTGCAGATTTGCTCATTCGGATAATATTGGGAAAGGCCAGTCAAACCAAGCTGAGAAGGTCTCTTGCTTGCAGGACTCTTCGGAGCCTTTACTATGGTGGTGTGCACTGTGAGGTTCAGAGGTCACTGTGGGTCCTGCCTTTGACAGGGCTGGTTTATGGATCACTTTGGAAACTCACGTCTTGGAAGTTTTGAGGGACCCAACCAGCAGGAAGCCCTGATAAGGAAACCCATGAAACATCAAACAAAACAGAGTTTCTCCAGAGAGGAGGAGCAGCTGTCTCAGAGTCATGCCCTCCGGCCTGGGGACCATACTACTTGATAAGATCTCCTTCCTGACATTAACATTAATTAGAGTGGAATGTAAGCATTTTGTTTGATCCTAGGATGATGCACACTTAAATCCTCATGCCTTACAGACCAGTTTTTTTTTCTTTTTTTTGGAGAGGTTTTTGCTATAGGGTGCATGCACTCGCCAGACAGAGAGAGACAGAGAGACAGAAAGCGAGAAATCACCCCCTAGGGAGGATGGCTATGCCGCAATCCATTCTCTTCCATTCTCCTCTCGGGATCTTGGGCACACACGCACACGCGCCCGGCATGAGTTTAAGCCACCAGGTCCAGGACTCAAACCGCGGTCGACTACAAGAGAGTCCAGCGACATAGCCATTACGCTAACTGCTGGTCCCATCTGCCCAGGAACTTTGTGAAGACTCCCCGTAAGCGTAAACCTCGTCAAGGCCACAGGAAGGGAAGCCGGCCTTTGAGCTGCGTGTCCCTGGAACAGCTTCCAAGAGTAGGCAGGCAGGACAGTGGGGACAGGTGCCACTGCGGGGGAGGGGGGGGGGATTGTCAGACCACAACCAGAAAGATAAAGTTCTCGAACCCCGCAGGGCTGGGGTGAACCTGGCCTCCAGGCCACGCATTGTCGCTTGGGGAGCAGAGATGGGCAGCAACTCAAGAAAGAGGAAGAGAGAGGTGGGCTCCCCGTCACACGGAGACCGCGCGATGAGGGCGATACTTGAGAAATGTCACCGTGCCCCTACAAGCAGACTGAGGTTCCCCTCCCCAGGACATGCAGTAACACGCTGAGCACACAGACACAGCAAACAGTGCAGAACCTACTCTTTAAACACTTCATCTTCTCCTTCAAGCCTGCAATGTAACAAGGGCGGAGGCATTAGAACACAGACGAAGTCAAGCTCAGCTCTGAGGCCATGAGCATTTCCACGTGTCAACTGAAACAAGCAAATAAAAAGCCTTTTCATGTTTCCAGGGAAAAAAAATATACAACTACATGTGTTGCATTTATAACAAATAATACAAACGGTAAATGCGTAGTATACAAGGGGACTTCAAGGAGTTCGTGTAAAAATAGAATTAATGTACAAGTTATTTTGGTGCCAAAAAAAAAAATCCTTTGCAATCCTTTTTTTTTTTCACAATACACACTTTCTGTAACTGTTTGAAAACTTCCCTCGTGTACTCTTTTTCAATACTACGTCCCATAGAGTCATGCCAGTTAAGTTATCTCTATAGATATTCAAACATGCAAATTCTAAGGGCTCCAAAGTCTCAGCGTTTTTATCTGGCATATTTTAAATGCGTTCAAATCCTAAATACACCACCTGAGCCAAAGCCTCACTGGAATTTAAAGATCTATCCCAGCAGCACAGGAGAGAGAACTCCCAAGTGCGAATACACCAGAGGCAGCTGTCGGCCCTGTACTGATCTGCAGCCAGTTCAGGCTCCCTCGATGCCTTGAAGGCGTGCCTCACCCAGCATGGAGGCTAATAGAAAAGGTGGGCGAGTCAAACATTAAGAGCCTGGGGGTGGGGGGCTGGCCCAGGCAGCGGCCGGTGGTGTGGTGGTTGGGGCAGCTGGATCCCACATGACTGACGGTGCAATTCAAGTCCTGGCCCCAGTGGCTTGAAAAATATGATGGGCATGTGCGCATGTGTGCCCAAAATCCCAAAAGAGGGAAGAAATGAAGGAGAAGGGATTGTAGCATGGCCATCTCCCAGGAGGGTATTTTCCTATTTCCCCTCTCTGTGTCTCTCTCCAGTGAGCACACATGCCTCTGACAAAAGCAAAAGCAAAAACAAAAGAGGTTGGGCATCTGTGTAAGGTAGATGTGCCCACATGGGAAGGGTCTGGCTCGTGTCCTGGGCCTCCCTGAGCACACTGTATGACTCGTGCATGGCTGTGACTCAGGCTGGGGTGGATTATGGCACCAGGAGCCTGAGGGGTGCCTCCCTACAACACCGCCTCAGAATAAGCACTCAAACGAACTTTGAAAAGTGTTAAAAATAAAAAAGAGCCATGGCTCAGATTCCTTGAACTCACCTTCATTTCAGATGCACTGCCCTGAGGGCAGAGTGGGAACCGAACTTTGAAAAGTGTTAAAAATAAAAAAGAGCCATGGCTCAGATTCCTTGAACTCACCTTCATTTCAGATGCACTGCCCTGAGGGCAGAGTGGGAACCGAACTTTGAAAAGTGTTAAAAATAAAAAAGAGCCATGGCTCAGATTCCTTGAACTCACCTTCATTTCAGATGCACTGCCCTGAGGGCAGAGTGGGAACCGCCTTGAGCCTTTGAGCTGAGACCACAGAGCCATGCACTTGGGAAGGGCAGGTCCCAAACAGAGACACTGCTGGCCTGAAATGTGGGCAGCCTGACCTCTGCCTGGTGCATCAGTTCAGAGAGTCCATCGAGGTCCAGAACACCCTGTGACTGCCGGGGCGCCAGGCAGCCCCAAACTGGCTAGGAGCACCCACGGAAGGGCTCGAGAAATCACCCCCTAGGGAGGATGGCTATGCCGCAATCCATTCTCTTCCATTCTCCTCTCGGGATCTTGGGCACACACGCACACGCGCCCGGCATGAGTTTAAGCCACCAGGTCCAGGACTCAAACCGCGGTCGACTACAAGAGAGTCCAGCGACATAGCCATTACGCTAACTGCTGGTCCCATCTGCCCAGGAACTTTGTGAAGACTCCCCGTAAGCGTAAACCTCGTCAAGGCCACAGGAAGGGAAGCCGGCCTTTGAGCTGCGTGTCCCTGGAACAGCTTCCAAGAGTAGGCAGGCAGGACAGTGGGGACAGGGGCCACTGCGGGGGAGGGGGGGGGGGTTTTCAGACCACAACCAGAAAGATAAAGTTCTCGAACCCCGCAGGGCTGGGGTGAACCTGGCCTCCAGGCCACGCATTGTCGCTTGGGGAGCAGAGATGGGCAGCAACTCAAGAAAGAGGAAGAGAGAGGTGGGCTCCCCGTCACACGGAGACCGCGCGATGAGGGCGATACTTGAGAAATGTCACCGTGCCCCTACAAGCAGACTGAGGTTCCCCTCCCCAGGACATGCAGTAACACGCTGAGCACACAGACACAGCAAACAGTGCAGAACCTACTCTTTAAACACTTCATCTTCTCCTTCAAGCCTGCAATGTAACAAGGGCGGAGGCATTAGAACACAGACGAAGTCAAGCTCAGCTCTGAGGCCATGAGCATTTCCACGTGTCAACTGAAACAAGCAAATAAAAAGCCTTTTCATGTTTCCAGGGAAAAAAAATATACAACTACATGTGTTGCATTTATAACAAATAATACAAACGGTAAATGCGTAGTATACAAGGGGACTTCAAGGAGTTCGTGTAAAAATAGAATTAATGTACAAGTTATTTTGGTGCCAAAAAAAAAAATCCTTTGCAATCCTTTTTTTTTTTCACAATACACACTTTCTGTAACTGTTTGAAAACTTCCCTCGTGTACTCTTTTTCAATACTACGTCCCATAGAGTCATGCCAGTTAAGTTATCTCTATAGATATTCAAACATGCAAATTCTAAGGGCTCCAAAGTCTCAGCGTTTTTATCTGGCATATTTTAAATGCGTTCAAATCCTAAATACACCACCTGAGCCAAAGCCTCACTGGAATTTAAAGATCTATCCCAGCAGCACAGGAGAGAGAACTCCCAAGTGCGAATACACCAGAGGCAGCTGTCGGCCCTGTACTGATCTGCAGCCAGTTCAGGCTCCCTCGATGCCTTGAAGGCGTGCCTCACCCAGCATGGAGGCTAATAGAAAAGGTGGGCGAGTCAAACATTAAGAGCCTGGGGGTGGGGGGCTGGCCCAGGCAGCGGCCGGTGGTGTGGTGGTTGGGGCAGCTGGATCCCACATGACTGACGGTGCAATTCAAGTCCTGGCCCCAGTGGCTTGAAAAATATGATGGGCATGTGCGCATGTGTGCCCAAAATCCCAAAAGAGGGAAGAAATGAAGGAGAAGGGATTGTAGCATGGCCATCTCCCAGGAGGGTATTTTCCTATTTCCCCTCTCTGTGTCTCTCTCCAGTGAGCACACATGCCTCTGACAAAAGCAAAAGCAAAAACAAAAGAGGTTGGGCATCTGTGTAAGGTAGATGTGCCCACATGGGAAGGGTCTGGCTCGTGTCCTGGGCCTCCCTGAGCACACTGTATGACTCGTGCATGGCTGTGACTCAGGCTGGGGTGGATTATGGCACCAGGAGCCTGAGGGGTGCCTCCCTACAACACCGCCTCAGAATAAGCACTCAAACGAACTTTGAAAAGTGTTAAAAATAAAAAAGAGCCATGGCTCAGATTCCTTGAACTCACCTTCATTTCAGATGCACTGCCCTGAGGGCAGAGTGGTAAACGAACTTTGAAAAGTGTTAAAAATAAAAAAGAGCCATGGCTCAGATTCCTTGAACTCACCTTCATTTCAGATGCACTGCCCTGAGGGCAGAGTGGGAACCGCCTTGAGCCTTTGAGCTGAGACCACAGAGCCATGCACTTGGGAAGGGCAGGTCCCAAACAGAGACACTGCTGGCCTGAAATGTGGGCAGCCTGACCTCTGCCTGGTGCATCAGTTCAGAGAGTCCATCGAGGTCCAGAACACCCTGTGACTGCCGGGGCGCCAGGCAGCCCCAAACTGGCTAGGAGCACCCACGGAAGGGCTCGTGACCTACCTCCGTTAGCCAGGAGGTTCTCCTGGACCTTCCCCTTCGAGTCCTCCATGACGTCCACCACACTCTGCGCCATCCTCCTGATGAGGCTGGGGAGAGAAGAGCGGGCGGGTTAGAGTGGGGAGCCGCCCTCCCCGCGCTCGTCGGGCACACGCGGGGCGAGAGCAACACGCCACAGCCCTGAACCAGTCGGCCCACTTCTGGGAAACCATCTTAAGGAAACGGGCAAAGAGAAAAGGCGTTCTGAATGAAAGAGACTGGAAACAGCGGGAGGCCGACAATAGGGGATTGTCAGAGGAAATGAGGGTGCATCCAGCTGAGGGATTATTAGGCCGCCATGGAAAGCAGGGTTTACAAAGAACTTTCTTCTGGGGAACAAGGGGCGTATTATGACACTCCGTGGAAAAGCAAGACGCGAAATAACACGACTGGCCGCAGGCTGCCGCCCTGGGAACACGCTCTCCCCGCTTTGTTTTCGGTTATGATCTGGGGCTGCGTTTATAATTTGAAAATGAAAATGTTCTGGCTCCAGAAATACACTGGCGGTTTCAGGAAAGAACAGAAACAAGCGCAGGAGCTGGAGGAAAGGGCCTCAGATCCTTCACGCTCTGCCCATCGCTGATGTCTGATGCGGGCCCCGCCGATTTCCGTTCTTTGAGCCTTCGTTTTCTTGTCTATGAAATTCAGACTGTGCTCATTCTGCAGGGTTATTACAAACAGAACTAGCCAGGCCTTGCTGACCTAGCAGAGCGCCTGCCGTGGGGGCTGACCGCCCAGAAACCGGCCCGGCGCGCAGGCCGTAAGCACTCAAAGCCTGAGAGTTCGGATGGTCCCGTTTTTCCTCAAAGCCCTCTGTCATGGTACCCCGGCTCCCAGGCAAAGACAGCAGGCCCAGACCACTGAGTCACAGATAGTCCAAGCTCACCTACCGTTGTAGGGGCCGGCCACCTTGGGCACTCGGTCCCGGACCAGGGGACTTGAAAACCATGCTGAGCGTGTGTGCGTGCATGCCCAAAATCCCAGGAGGAGAATGGAGGAGAAGCGCATGGCATGGCTGTTTCCCCTGGGGGCTGATTTTTCACTTTCCCTCTCACTGTCTCTGTCTCTCTCTGGCAAGCACATGTACCCTATGGGAAAAAAAGTGGGGAAAAAAAAGGAAGAAGAATAGGGCCAACCCCATACCATAGGGATGAAGGGAGCTGGGTCCCAGACGGCCAACCTTGGTTTGAATTGCAGCCCTACTGGCTGAAAAGCAGGCCAGGTATGTGCACTCGTGTGTCCCAAATCCCAACAGGAAGAAGGGATTGCCGCATAGACATGCCCCAGTCGGTGCTTTCTCCTTCCCTCTCTCCGTTTCTTTGTTTTTCTCTCTCTCTATCTGGCAGTGCCGTGCCCTCTGACAATTATTAAAAAAAAAAAAAAAAAAAAAAGAGCAACCCTGCTCCCCACCAACACACACACACTTTGTCCGGCATGTTTCCAAAGGCCCACCGGCACGGCTGTGTGCGCCAAGATCGCCTTTTGACAGCACCTTCATTTAGTGGAGTTTACTAAACATTCCATGGCCATGGTCTCATTGAAATCCTCCCCCAAACTCCCCCAGCATGGATATTATCCCATTTCAGAGGTGGAGCCATTGAGGCCCAGAGAACTCATCTCCCGCAACCATCCTGGCTGTCCGTGAAACCCGAAGGCAGGGCTCCTGGCGGCCATGGAGCTGCCTCTGAAGCCCCCCAGGCACATCCTGGGCTGGAGTTTCCACCACGCTGGCAATCCTTAGAAACGTGGCCAGTAGTGTTTTACCAATTACCCATGACCCGATCAGTTCCCCAACTAATCTCAGATCTCACAGGGCGCTTTGTGGGATTTGGTGAGGCGCACGTGCTGCAGAGATGCCTTCAGATCTGCGCCAGGTAGCCTGGGCGTTTTGGCTCCCACGTAGATCTGGCAGCAGATGGACGGGAGGAGGGCCTGGCTCCCTCCCTGCTCCAGGAACCTCAGTCAGCGTTCCTCCCTGCTGATGTCTCTCCACCCTCGGCTTGGGTTTGGATGTTTGGATCTCTTACGGCCCCTACAACTTTGCACCTCTTTATCCGTAGACCCACTACTGTGAGTGTGCCTCCCATGATCTGCTGGGACCCTAACTCGAGGGTACATTCACTCGTTCATTCATTCAGCGAAGTCCGTACATTGAGCATCTATATTATATGCCAAGCATTGCTGAGTGCTATGGACCAAAGTCCCAGCCGTCTGGGAGTCCTGTTTTACTGCTGCCAGTGGCTGGCTTTATCTTCAGGGTGACACGTGCAAGCGGCTGTGTCCTCCCGCCTAGCCCCTGCAACACTCACGGTAATTATGCTTGCAGGGAAGGTGACTCCAGCCCGTCCCGCCGTCTCTGACTCACCGCAGCTGCACGTCGACAATAAACGACCCTGGCATTCCACAGGACCTAAAGCCACACACGTGCGTGCCTCCTCCTCCCGCACCCAGAACAGAACTCACCCAGCATTGGCTCCCGATTCCTTGGCGTTCCCATCCTGGCCTCTATAAAGTTTCTACTGCGCCTAGGCAGGCGCTCCACCCCGGGAACACGGGCAATAACAGGCTGACGAGGCACAGCTGCTGGGAAAGCCACGGTCCCTGGGACGGACGGCCCTGCCTAGGCCGTAATCATTTACGAGGGTCGGCGGCAAATCGTGGGGCTTCTGACTCAGAGTGCGTTCCTCACCAAAAGAACCGAAAGTCCGTGTGCTGCTGAATGTACTTTTTTCACTTTACGGTTCTTTGTGAACGCCTTTCCATATGAGAGTTTCCAGTCCAGCGGGCGGAGGGTGGTTAAGGCAGCTGCCTCCCACATGGCCCACTGCGTGACTCGATTCCCGAACCTGGAGGCTTGAAACACACTCAGGGCACGTGTGCACACATGCCCAAAAGCCTCCGAGGAGAACAGAGGGGAACAGATCGTGCATGGCCACTCCCCCGGGGTGCATTTTCTCACTTTCTCTCTCCTCCCCCAACCCTGTCCAGGGAGCACACACGCCCTACACCAATTGAAAAAAAAAAGTATATATACATATATTTAGTGCTTCCTCATTCCTGTCATTTACTGCATGGTCGTTCAGCGTATAGCTATGTCATAACGAATTCCCTATTCTTGGACACTGGAGTTGTTTCCACTTGGTTTTCTGGTTATTTTTACATTTATTGGTGTGTTCATTTCATGAGAGAGAGAGAAGCACCTGCAACGGTCTCACGGCGTCGTGATCCCCACTTGTCCCCTAGCCGGATCACCAGTGTACCTGCTCAGCGTGCTCAGGCCAGCCTGGGTCTGCACCAGGGGTCCCATAAGCTCCAATAACGCCTCCGCGCTTTTGCCCGCACCACCGCAACTGGGCCCGGTCTCCCCTTCGACATCATGGAGCGATAATGCCTATATTACCCACTTGCTCAGGTACATCTCCAGAGCGAGGGGCTCAAAGAGCAACTCCTGCAAGAAAGGGCATGAACATTCCCAACCTTAAGAAGCAAGACCAGGCGGCTCTGCAAAACACAGAGCAAGGGCGTGCTCCTACCCTCAAGACGCGCGTGGGCCGTCCCCCTAGACCCCAGCCGACATGGCTCACATGTCTTCGGAGCCTCTGCCCATCTGACAGCTACTATACCCTCTCAGTGCTCCGACTCTGCCCATCTGACGGCGACCGTACCCTCTCGGTGCTCTGATCCACGCTCTCCGACCACTGAGGCACGCCATCTTTCCACCTGTCCACTGACTGCGGAGGCTGCGTCCTTCTGAGAACGGCACGCTCATGTACTTTGCAGAGTCTCTACCAGATTATTGGAGAGATTTTCACTGTAGGGCGCGGGCGCTCGCCAGACAGACAGAGAGAGACATAGAGAGAGAAAGCGAGAAATCACCCCCCAGGGGGGATGGTCACACCGCAATCCCTTCTCCTCCATTCTCCTCTCGGGATCTTGGGCACGTACGCACACGCGCCCGGCGTGAGTTTTTTAAGCCACCGGGTCCGGGACACGAACCGCGGTCGACTATGTGGGAGTCCAGCGACATAGCCATTACACTAACTGCTGGTTCCCCCTCTACCAGATTATTCATCGTTCATCTTTTATTTTATTGCTGTGTGTGAGCTTTAGAAGTGTCATAGACTCAATTCTTGATGTGTTCTTTTAGTTTTTAGATTTTTTTTGCTATAGGGCACGGCACTCACCAGAGAGAAAGAGAGAGAGAGGGAAAGTGAGAAATGACCCTGGGGGGATGGCTAAAAACAACCTTAAGCATGTGACCTAGCCCTCTAGCACAGGAAGCCAGATGCCACGTGGCTGACCAGGGTTCAAGTCCCTGGCAGCCTGAAAAACACACTAGATGTGTGTTAACGTGCCCAAAACCACGGCAGAATGTGGAACTGGAGGGAAAAGGACTGCCAGGTGACTGGGGCCCTTTAGGGGGCTGCTTTCTCTGCCTCCCCTTGCCCCACCTCCCGAGCTTATACACACACAAATACCATGCAGCTTTTAATAAATAAATATCCCCCAAAAATCTTAAGCATGTACAGTATGTAATCTCACTTTTAGAAAATGATGTCCATATGTATATCTAACTAAGAGTCTTGAAAGAAAAGACACCAAACTGTTAAAACTGGCTAAACTCCTGCTGTGTACAAGGAGGATTTCCCAGGGTCCAAACAGCGGCATGGCAATAAAATACGTTCTGCAAAGCTGACCACACGAGAAGGTTCCCGGTTCATGTCCAGAGACCTCCCTTAGTGTTCTAGGCAAAGGCTTACATATGATCGGGGCTGGCTGAGGCCGGGGGTGGATTGTGGCATCAGGACCCTGTGGGGCCTATCTCTCTGTCTCTCTCTGGGAGCCTGTTCATGAATGAATAGACGTTTCAAAGGGGGAGGGGTCAGTCCCTGGCCTGGTAGTTAAGGCGGCTGGATCCCTCATGGGTGATTTTGCTCTTAGGAAAGTCCAGGTTTGAATCCTGAACCTGGAGACTTGTGCATGTACACATGTGGCCAAAATCCCGAAAGGAGGGAGAAGTGGAGAAGGGATTGTGGCATGCCCATGTTCC